AGCGGTTCGAGCGTGCGGAACACGGAGGAAGAGGAAGAGGCGGAGGAGGAGAAGCGATTTGAAGAGGTCGTGGAGCGTGAGAAGGAGGTTGTGGTGGTTGAGGAGGTCGCTGCTAGGCTTGAAAAGAGGAGCGCGTTGCGGAAAGGTTCTGAAGGCGAAGAGGTTCGACATATGCAGGTCCGATTTTCCTTTTTTATTTTATTTTATTTATTCGCCTTTCATTGTTTAATATATTTAGGTTAGGTTGTGCTCGTGTTTATATTCCGTAAAAACTTATAGAAGAATAAGATAAAATAAGAAAGTGAAATGAATTGAGTTTGTTGCATCTGGAATGAACTTATGCACTTGATTTTTCTATAAATTCTCTTAACTAACTTTTTTAAAAGTTGAAGTGCATATATAGATCTTAGTTTATGAGAAGCTCGAATCATTTTACCTTCTTATGCACTTGATTTTTATAGAAACTCTCTTAGCTAACTTTTTCAAAAGTTGAAGTGCGTTAATAGATCTTAGCTTATGAGAAGCTCGAATCATTTTACCTTCTTGTTTCGATTCTTATAGCTGATTATGGAAAAATTTATGCAGACGCGATTTTAGTTATCCACTAGTACGATACTTGATTTGTTCCAATTCGCACGATGATTATTGGTTCAACGTGGAATCTTACTTGATGTGTTGAAATAACAGGAAGCGTTATTGAAATTGGGGTTTTACTCGGGTGAGGAAGACATGGAGTATTCAAGCTTCTCTAGTGGAACTGAGCGTGCTGTGAAGACTTGGCAAGTTAGTATTGTTCTGAATAGTATATTATTTATGAAGCTTTTGATGAGAAGAGAGTTTGAATTAATTTTCATTATAAACAGACTATTTTAGTGATGTAAATATATATACTGTTCTCTATACCGTGCTATGCTTGGACATTTTTGTTTTCTTGATTTTGACGGGTACTTGATGTTTGTTTAAAAGGCTGCATTAGGTGCCCCTCAGGATGGTATCATGACAGCTGAACTTCTTGAAAGGCTACATTTGGAGGTAAGGACCAAGGACACGGGCAGCGCAACTCAAGACAGACAATCTTCTACTGTTTTACCGAAGGTATGCTTTGCTGATTAAATCCGATGTACTATTTTCTCCCTCTTGAATGCCTAGAACTTGCGCAATATTTGTGAGTTTATCTAAACGCGTTGTCCAAAATCACTAGTAACTCCAGTGCTTATTTGGATTCCCATAAAAAATCACCAAAAAAATAAATAAAATTTGTGGAAGTTACTCTAACCTTGATTAATGTCTTCTACAAAGACGTGGAACCCAACACACGGTTAATCCCATGTGTTTGGGGATCAATCACGTGACTCCTTGGTCCTAACTAAACAGGATAGTTTGTGTATTCTTGATGGAAACCATAATATATATTTCTTTAGATTTTATTAAAACATAATTTTGGATATTTTTCTTTCTGCATTAATTTTCTTACATGTTTTTACTGAATTTTTTGTTTTTGATAGAGTGCGTCAAAGACACACTCTCCTATAAGTTTAAGCTTTTGGCTGGAGGCCAAGGACTGGTTTTATTATATCTCTAAAACAACAGCGAGACGAAATATTCAAACTGTTAGATACTTGTTTGTATCTTTAAAATTTTGTGAATTATATAGGAAGGTGAAAATGGAGCTGCAGTTGCTTCCGTGACAGAAATTTCAGATGTTCAGCAAAAAGTAGTGAAAAGCGATGAAGGAGCAGAAGTCTCTGATCGGCGAGTTTTTCTCCTTGGAGAGAATCGGTGGGAAGAACCATCAAGACTTGTTGCAAGTGGTGGAGTTGATAGGAGCAAGAAAAAGGATGTAATGACAAAATGCCTTCAATGTCGTGGGGAAGGTCGCTTGTTCTGTACAGGTATATAATTTGCCGCATGTATTTCAATGAATCTGTCATTATCCCATAGTGGGTTCATTGATCATTATCCCACTATTAAGATTTTAGGTTTGGCGAAGCCTGCTCATTTTCTTCATAAATTCAACATTCCAGTTCACATGGGTTACTCAAACACAGCCTCAAAAGTTTTATGAATTCTGGGCTCCCATTCTGACTATTCAAAATTGTCTCTCCTTGAGATTCGATTTGTAGACCATTGGAAAGTCAACCATAATATCTACAGTCATTCCAACATGGTCATTGCTATCACATGAATTTAGGAATTGATATCTTGATAGCAGGCAATACCTATTGCCCCAATGGGGCAGTGATAGTTGTAGCTATTTAATCTCACATTCAGGTCTCTTACAATGACCAACTCTAAGGGCAATCATACAATTAGTTTCTGACATATTGATTTCTGTATGATACTGGTTTCCTAAATGTATTATTTATGATCAACTGTGGAATTCTCCAGTCAAGTTCCATTTCTTTAATTGCAGAATGTGATGGAACTGGCGAGCCAAATATTGAACCTCAAGTAAGGGATGCATAAGCATTTTAAGAAAATTTATTTTTGTAGTTACTTTACTGTTCAGCACAAGCTCTTGAACTTATCAATGAATTCTTTGATGCAGTTTTTGGAATGGGTGGAGGAGGGTACAAAATGCCCATATTGTGAAGGCCTAGGGTATACTGTATGTGATTTATGTGGAGGGAAAACTATGGTATAGGTATGACATGCATTTCTTCATTGTTTCATACAGGTATATAGTTATCAATATCAATGCATCACAATTTTTGTATACCTATATGTTTTATTTTCAGTTCTTGATTGAACTGATAAAGATACGCAATCCAAAACAAATCTTATAGTGAACGTTAGTGCAACCATTCAAACGGTATAGTATATTATTTAATCATCAAAACCTAGAAATAGGAACTTAATATTTGAGAGATTTTCAGGGCTTAGGACTTGGGAGCTTTACAGAGCTACGTGAAACTCTGCGGAGAAACCTCGCAAATTACAACGTAGATTAAACGGTGCATGCAATTCTAAACCTTCAGAATAAATGAGGTCTCAGGTCATATACCATTGAGTACACTTAAACATACATTTTTCCCTTGTCCGAACTAAACTTCATGATTTATTAAATCACAAAAATATGCAATGCTCTGTTAATTTGTGAATGTCATCTCGAATACTATTAGGCCATAAGCTAAAACATATTTATGGTTGACGAGAATGGCAAATCAAGGACTGGATATAGGCTCTTATAGCAACGTTTGCTATAGTTTGAGCAGTCTCCGAAAGTTCTTCGAGGGAACTTGAAATAAAGGTGAAGTTTGATGGGGCTCAATCAAATACTTGCCACTGAACCTATATCTTGATGGCTTCTTTATTTGAGCGACTTGAGATTAAGGAGCTTTAGATACACATATATGGCAAATGAGTAGTAAAATATGAGATGAATAAAAGTATGTGCGAATTAAAATGAGGTTAGCTACGAATAACCATGATTTTTTAACAGTGTCAATTTGTCATTATAATTTTATAATGTGATTGTAATTTTGATCCTTGTGTATTGCATTTGTGAAATTTCCCCCCATGTTCTAATTTTGCAAATTGGGTACTTTTTATTATAATTGTGTAATTTTAATCTTTCTATTAAAGCTCACATTAAATATTTAATAAGTTTTGCTGGCATAACACTAGATGATAAGTGATAACTTGTGGACGATATGATAGCTAACATGTTTGATGTATATGTTGATACGATTTATTTACACTTTTAATTCTTCATGTATGCAATCCTGAAAAATTGACAATGCAATTAAGCCATGTCACGTTAAAAAATTTGTTAAATATTTAACAAAAGACTAATTGCATAATTGTGAATTTGTGATACCTTAAGATCCAATTTGTACTGTTGTCATTTGAGAGAGCAAAATTGTGCTACATGAGATGACAAAAATGCATTTAATCTTGCTTTTCCATTCTTCAAATTGTTGGGTAAACCTTATACAACGTTTCATCCTGAGATGTGGTTGCTGGTTATCTTGCTTGTCTGGCGTTGCCCCATCTAGCTGGTTCCTAAACCAGCATTCACTTGGAGAATCATTTAATTTGATTGCAGGTCCATCTCTCTTGGACGTCTGATATCACTACATGATGTTACACACATTCTTGCGCAGATATTTGAGATGTGGTAGCAAATGTTTTTACCGCATTTCTCTTGCTGTGTGAATATCCAACCGCTGCACTTGAAGAAAACAATTGAACGAGATTCAAGAAGCTGCAGATCACCTAACATCCACACATTTCAACGCAACAACAATACCATATCGATCACCTAACATCCACATCGGTAATTAAAACTATAAGCATCTTGGCAAGTGAACTGTGAATTCCCGTTCTTGGAGAAATCAAAACAAGTAACATAATTAACTTAAAGAAAATAAGGAACTAAATCACAAGACGACACCGTAACTAAAATGTCGATTTGACAACTAACGCTCGAGTCTCCTCAAGTTTTGCTTGGAGCTATATGAAACAATTAGATAACATTTTCATATAACTGTGAATGAAGTATTTAATTTCCAATCTATAAATCAATGGTCGGGTTTGAAATGATCAATCGTTTCAGCTCTTTAAAATAAATAAAATTAAAATCTTTTAAAAGTGTTTTTGGTTGAGCTCTTATGGTCTTATTAGTTTAACTCTTATAATTACAATTTCAATAATATATACTATAATAATAATGTAACCTATTAATGGTAATCTTGTTTGATTATCGGTTTCCATCCATTCTTATTTGTTAATTTGAATGGTACTTTTTTATATTTCAATTAATTTATTCCTACTACCAATAAAATATTTTTCATTAATTGACTTTGTTTTTGAAAAACCCATACAAAATCCAGTAATTGACTCATTATCAAAAAAACTCAACAAAAAAAATCGTCCCAAAAAGTTACTGGAAAACATTTTTCTAGTTCTACGCATTGCCACGTATTGAAGTTAAAGACTTAGTATTGAGAGCTCAAATAAATAAGAATGTACAATGTTAATAGTAATCGTGAAAGGTAACCTATGTTGCCTAAGCTAGAAGGCTATAAATATTACAAGTTACAATGGAACTATGCTTATTTCTCTCAGACCTTGACCGTCATTATCAACAGCTTCTGCAGGTGAGGAACAATGAGAAATTACCTATACAAAAATTTTATGTGCTTACATGTTAACTATCAGCAAGCGCAATGGAATACAGAATTGCTAAAGCATTTTGCTTTTGTTGCAATCTTTTTCACACGTGTTTCATGATGTGAGAATCCTCCAACAACAGGAGATAAGTGGATTCTGTCCATTATATTCATTTTAGGGGCCTCAAGAATTGCCTTGGGCCGATTTATTGCATATTGCATCCCCCAAATTGCTAGTGGCCTCATATACATGAGGGACCGGTAGTGCCCATCCATTGTCCAAGCCTCTGGAGTCTGAAACCAGTACCTGTCATGAAACAAAGAATTAATTTCCCAGTAGAGATGGAATAACAGCATACAATTTATTTATTGAATAATATGTATGAAATAAAAAATAGCCGTAATTTTCTTGTGTGAAGTACAATATGCATGCATGAAGCACACTCAATCTGTATATTTTGTGATATTGATAAATATTCATTGGTTTATGAGCGTGACTTTTATTTACACATCGAGAAATCCAATCACTTCACCAGACACAAAAAAGCAAGAATGCAGGTGACCCACAAACAATTATGGAACCGGATGCTCTGCAGTATAGATTCCATGCAGTTAATGTTTAATGATAGATGATTTTATAATAAGTTTTCTTTATTTTAGATGAATATACAACTGCATCACCATGCAGTTGCTTCTTAACTGCAAAGGATCCTAGTTCAACAATTATAGAAGACAGTGGACATAAGAAATTACCCATATCCATCTTCTGACCAGCCTGCTAGAAATATTCCCTCAGCAGTTGTGAAGGCCTCTTCTTCCATTCCCGCAAGAATCATAGTAGCAGCAACACCATAGGTCACACCAGTCCATACTTCTCGAGACTGCATACAGGTCTCATCCACCTTACCGTTGGGATGCATGCCATTTACAGCACCCATCCTGCCTCCTTTAATCTTCATTACATTGAAATCATAAACCTTCCGGAGAGAACTTTTGATTTTGAAATCATCAAAAAGGGAGGGCAGCCCTGAGGATGCTGTGTACCATTGCCCAGCCAATTGATCTGCTTGAATGGACTTACTGTTACCACTTGATCCACTGTCGTAGTTAAAATAAGAACCATTCCACAGCTTTTCTTCAAATGCTGGCTTAGCCTTCAAAAACTTCCTTTTGCATTTTTCTGCAAAATCTCTGTCACCTAGTTCATGGGCCATTGCAGCTGCAGCTTGTAGAGCAGCAAGCCAAAGACAACCACAGTAAGTGCTCACGCCATGGACTGTCCACGTATCATATGTTTGATCAGGGAACCCATCATTCTCGATGAGACCATCGCCATCTCTATCAAATTGTTCCATGTACTCCATTGCAGCACGGACAGCAGGCCACACGTCTATTCCAAATTGCAAATCACCTGTTGCAGCAAAATCTCGATACACCTGAAGAACAAATTTTGGGTTCAGGTCCTTCCACTTGCTGGTATCATGAATGTTATAGGCATTCATCTCATACCATGGATCATGTGTCCCTAAATCATGTGGAACTGCCCCATAAACCTTGCGAATTCCACAGTTTCCCTCTGCCAGAAACTTTACTTTTCTTCCATCTTCACACAGGACAGCTCTAGCAAAGTCACGCTGTATATTTAATTCAATCTTAGGAAAGAGCTCAAGAAGGGCAAATGAGGCATAGAAGTGCACATCATATGTGCACCACATGATATATTCCACTCCTTCCAAGTACAAGAACCTTCCGACATCATCATCACATTGTTGATTCCTTGTCGATACGGAATGCAGAGTACTAGTGGAGTTTCTTTTTCTGAGAGTATCAACAGATTCATTTTCATGGGAAACATCTCCATTTAGTTTTTCATCCACATGATTATGTCCCGCAATAGCAGCAGAATCATATGTACTATTTGTTGTACTCTCCACAACTGTCCTCCTTCCATTGTCCATTTTAGCTTCAATTTCTTTGACAACTGTATTTTCCAACTCCCTTACCTGATCTTGGTCATTTCGCATATTTGAAGATAACAAAGGAGAGTCTGGCAGAAATATTAAAGCAGTCTTAATGATTTCATATAAACTGGTAATAGGCATCTCAAATAACAAACCAGGCATTCATTGAAAATTAAACTGAAATACAATATCCATATATTATATACATACCAATCCAAATTGTTCCTCCGGCAACAAGAAAGTAGAGCTCATTAAATAATGTAAATTTGTACCTGTAAAAATAAATTTTAAATACATTATGTATCTTCTTCTTATCCAATAAGAGCCAAAGTAAGTTGATTAGATAGAGGTCCGTTTGATAAATCAAGGTAGAGGAAGACATGGAAAGACACGAGCATACATGCTCAGTTCAAAGAATTTCAAAAAAGAGTGTGTTTTACTAAATAACAGTGTGATTACATCTGACTCATGAGTCCCATAAACCCAACCGTTGAACATAGGAAACTGATTACTATAATGAAAAAATTTGGGTATGTATTCTAGAGCAGAAAGTGTAAGTTTTTTACAAGTAAGCTAGAATAAATACAAGTTTTCCTTCGAATGTTTGATTCTATAATAATAATAAACTGGAAACTACCTAAAGCATGCAGACAAAAATATATTAAAAAATCGGTAATACTTGAAAATACTAAAGAGATTAAACTGAGAATTACCATTCTGGTAGTGTCTCATCCTTAAGAATAGGATTCTGCCATTTCTCAATCTCTTCTTCCCACCAATTGTAATCTGTTCAGAATTCAAAACCTAATAAGGTCTTTAAAAGCGCAGATGAAAGCATCAATTACTTCAGAAGCATTTGTACATTTTTTTTCTTTTTAAATGTGACCATATACAACAGCAATGCAAGTAAACAATAGGCCTGGAGAATATCAATTTCTATCAAATCATACAACATACGTGTCAATGCATCATGGGCCAAGTCCATCGCAGCATTCTCAGAAGTCCCATAAAATTTTGTATATCTCCTGCATTAAAAGAATTCAGCATACTTAAGTTATTAAAACAAAATTATACAAAAGAAACATCTTGGGTATTAAAAAGTTTAGCCATTCCCAAATAAAGCAAGAGTGGCACAATTAATTTGAAAATCTAGTAGTTTTATTTAGCATAATGAGTCTGTTTGTTTAAATTCTTTTTTTTTTTTTTTTTTTAAAGTGTTTCTAAATATGTGTTTTTTTTTTAAAAAATAATTCTTTAAGAAAGAGTTGTTTATAAAAAAAGCAGAAAACTGCTTATTTTAAAAATAAAGTTTAGACAAACACATCAAAAAATAAAAATAAAAAATAAAAAGTGCTTATTTTATTTTAAAAAAATGCTTTTATAAGAAAACAATTTAAACAAATAGATCCAATGTAGTACAGCATAACAAAGCAAGATAATCTAATATAATAGTATTTAAGAGCAGGAGGGAAAGAAAACCTTCATAAAAGCAAAAAATAAGAATATAATATCAAGAGATACAATGGACATTTTCACCATATATGCCTCTAAAGTAAAGGGAGAGTTTGATCACTTGGACAATATACCATTAAAAGTGCTTCACTTGAGCAGGCAGGTATATTCATACAAGTATACGACTATAATTCATCTAAGATATATAAAAGTTGTTCAAGGATAAATATTAACTACCTAACATATTCTTGTATAACATTGATTACCTGTTGAAAGTGCTACCTTTCACGAACTTTACTTTTGGAGATGACCATGCAAGACTAAATGCAACAGTACACTTTCCATGGGGTTCAACCCATGTGGAAGCTGCAACAGCAGCACATAGTGTCTCTCCAAGTGATGAGGGCATGCTAGGTCCAGAATTGAAATTCTCCTGCTCAAATTGCCCATCCTTAAAAAAATATAATCATAACAATCAGAACCATTTCTGTATGCTTTTCATACCAAAAATATTTGTACAAATATCATTTAGAAACCCCCAAAAGAGGAGCAAACAGTACCTTCACCATTTTAGACCACATGCCTTTTGCTGTTACGCTACTTCCTTCAGACAGCCCAAAACTTGGCAAAACAGAAACGCTAACATTCTGTGTCTCACATGCAGCTATGGCAAACGTAACAGGAGGGTTTCCTTTAGATGTCCTGAAACATTGGAATAATATTAAAAATATATCCACCAAAATCATCACTTACATAGCAGATTAGGGGACAGGAGACCCCAATTACAAATACATACATACTCACCCACACATGTATTTATTACACATATCTACATGCACACAAATATGAACCTAATATGAACCTAAGCAGTGGAAATTGTAAAATTGAGTAGAAACTAATTATAAACAATACAAAAAGAATATTACTGCATAGGAAAAAGAAAATGGTAGCATTGAATAATGGGAATTTTTTAGTTCATCTGTACAAGTTCATTGAAAATCCCTAACCAAAAAGATAATCCAAAGGGAAAACAATATATTTCATTGAATAATTCAGGATGCTCAATTCTTCAATTAGGAAAGTGCATGTTTCAATAATTAAAGAACCCCTGCTGATTTACAAAGTAAGAGACTAACACACCGATATATTAGAGATCTCCCTTAGTATTTAAGGCATTGACAAATCATGTTGAATGATGTCTATTTAGAGATATACTTGGTTAGGTTAGGTTTATCTGTTATGATTTTTGTTTTGATGGGCCACTAATCAATATATGTAGGAGGGGAAAGAAAAGGAAGAGCGGG